GTATCGTCTAAGATCCCAAGGAAAAGTCTATAAGAACTTGAAATATGAAGAAGAGTGATTTGTTTATTTCCAAATTCCAGTTTTTGTTAGCTTTTACTTGTTGTCCTGTGCTTCTAGTCATTGATTGGGTTCCCTCATGCTGGTTTTTAGTTCACTGGCTTATTAATGTCTCCTGGTTTGTTTTGTAAATTTACCTTGCATCTTCATCCATCTCTTTTCAAGGGAAGCTTCCGACTTTGGAAAAGAGGTAGTTAAAGAGGAGATAAAAGTACTTACATGTGGTCAAGTGTGAAATTAATGCTTATAAATAATGTGAGAGAAGGGCAGTCTCTTATTGCGTTATTTTTTATTCGTAACTATTTTTCTCATTAGGTAGTATTCTTAACTATGATATCATACTGCAACAAACTGGCCATGGTCATTGAGACAAGCATATAGTCATTGATTATTAGTCTGATTAACAGGCATTACAATCAGCAGGGATCAACTTTTCTATCTTTGATGGTTGTTGGATTGCATTACTAATAATTTCCAGTAATCTTGTTGTTCTTTATTTTCATATGATTGCTTAATCATTTAATCAGGGAACTATTCTGATGTGTTGATCACTTTCTATTTTGTGTATTCAGCCTCCATGGGACAAAGAACTTGGGGAGAAGTTCATAATTCATTACACTTATGGATGTGACTACAACATGAAGGTGATTTCGGTCACTGAATTCTTCAAATAATGTTTCACTTAAAAGAAAATGAGGGGAAACTGCTGAATATGATAGAATGATGAGCCCTATTTTTTTGGACCAGTATATTATCCCTAATTTACATTTATTGATAGTAGTTCCAAAATTAAATCATAACATTCCTTTTGCCACTTGCATCATGACTTAAGTTCAACTTTGGTTTGGAAATTAGGGCGACTTGACTTATGGAAAGATAGGAGAATGGAGGTTTGACAAGAGATCTTATGACAGTGTTGCTCCTCCAAAGAACCTACCACTGCCTCCTCCCGGTGTTCCAGAAAGTGTGGTATGTATTATCTCTCCATGTTGTTCTAGGGTGCTTTTTGTTCTTTTTTCCCCTGGAAACCTCCATTTATGTCTAGGTTATCTTTGGAAGATTGCTTCCCCATTTTGAGAGCATGGATCATTAAAGCCAAAAGATCTGGAAGAGTATAGTTCAAACAAAGGAAGGATCACCAAATTTACAAAATCTAAATCTATTTTCTGATCAGGTGTATGTTGAAGGAGCTTCTGCTTCATGATGGCTTTTGTGTTTTTTAGAGCCTTAATCCTTTGCAACTAACAACTTCGGAATAGGGGTTAGTTTCATTGAAGCCTTTTCACAATTAGAGGATTCTTGCCACCAATAGATGAGCATGTCAGGCAGTCACTTTTTTCTCTCTGAATGTGTTTGGAGGTGTAGCAATAGATTCTAACTAATAGCTTTTTTCGCAGAGTCTTCTAATTATTTCTTAGTTGCCATGAGATCCCCTCAGAATGTTATGCAAAATCAAAAGAAAGATCACACGAAAAAGATGCCAGAGCAACGAGTCATAAACATCAACACTCTAGCTAGGCACTAAATAGATCTGCGCAATGCCTGTAGAAAATGATCCCTAACAGAATATGCCAAGAAAGAATCCTACTATTGAAAAGCTTAATGTGAAGCACTCCTTGGATATTGTATAAGCAATGTTGCATAAAGGTGAAGGTCACAAGCTCAATAATGGTTTTCTGTTGGAGGTGTTCGTTCTTTTGTCTTTAACTTGCTACTTTATTTTTCCTTTTAATGTCCTCATTCTTCATCATCGCCGTTGAAAAATTTTGATTTCTGGCAGGTGACTCTGGTGAAAATGGTAAATGAAGCAACTGCAAACATTCCAAACTGGGGATCCTAAAACATCATATGCCTTTTGCAGCCACCGAAAGGTTCACTGGTGGTTCATCAAAATAGAGGTTACGGGGCTAACAAGCACGGTGGAGTGAGAATTGGTGTCATATTAACATCCTATGCACCGTCGAGGATGGGTGCATTTTGTCAATTGTATGAATACAAGGTTTCAAATCATCCTCGTTTGTTAGATGAGTATGTGCGCTGTATGAGCTGTAAAACTTGCGTATTGTCGTCCAACAGTGTCGAGATGTCATTAGGAAGCATGTAAATGACACCATATACACAGGATTCATTTCGATTTGATTTTTCCATGCAATAAAATTCTCACCTTTTGGCTTTCGATACTGAAGTTTCGTCACATGGTAAATGGTATAGCTGTGGGAAAACAACTAAGCTAAAGCACCTGGATTGCTTTTGAGTAGCGAACTGATGATGCAAGGGTCCACCACTGAAACTTGGTCTAAGACATTGATGTTCAAATGAGTATCGACTTGTTTGATCTTGTAGATTGAGTCATTCCCCCTCGGTCGTCCAACATTAATGTTTCGTATTAATTTTCTTTTTGGGAATGAAAGATGAAAGGAATCGAAAAATCAATCTCCTCAAGTCTGGTAACGTCGTTGTCGTGATGACCTCCGGTTGGCTCTTTCTTTTCGTCCTTAACAAGCGCCTTCCCCGGACGTAATTGCGTGCTCTATCGACTGTCATCGTTGCTCGATTCTTCACCATTGTTGATCCTTTTCTAATAGCAGTCAGTCAATGTCCTGTGATTCAAGTTCTTCGCTCATTAGCATGATCAGAGAGGCTTGATCAACTCCTTTGCAACCAAAATGTGCTTTTGTGTATTCATGATCCTCAGCACAAAGCTCCAAACTTAGAATTCGACTCAGCGTTTGCTCACCATTGTTGGAGAAAATCGTAGGTTGATGCCAGCAACATTCGCTTTGATACCAAAAATGATGCCGGATGACAGAGTCTCCAAGTAGTGAGCCAAATTAGATTGAGAATATAAACTCAATTCTAAATGAATGGTAACTTAGAATGGAACTATTCTAATTGTTCCATAGGACAAAATGCAAACAGTTACTAGACCGTTTAAAATTACCAACTATTTTAATAATGTGGGACGTTAATTTATATACCTTATCAATGTGTTAAAATTGCTAGGTTCTATAGAAAATTATCAACTCTTACTATGAGTCCATTAACAAACATTTATTCTATCGTTTTGAAACTACCAATCGTTCTAATAATTTACCAATTTCCTATGCGTTAGAGTTAGAAACTCTTGTAGGAAACTACTAAAATTCATTTGGGTGATTTACCAACTTTTCACGGGTTATGTTAGCAACTAGTTTTAACTTAATCAACTTTTATGCAACATTTATTTGATTGCTTCCAAATTACTAATGGTTTTGATAATTTATCAACATCTATGTGCCGAGCTTACAGATATGTTATAGGAAATTACCAACTCTTATTTGGGTCTTTTGACCACTGTTTATTTGATCATTTGAAATTACCAACCGTTCCAATACTTTGCCAACATTTACTTGTTAAGATAACCATGATGTTACATTACAAACTTTTATAGAAATTTATCAACTTCTATACGTCTTTTGTTCGATTGATTCGATATTACCAACTACCCTTTTAATTTACCAACATGTATTTGCACATTCTGCCAACTTGTTTGCTGGCGAAGTATAACAGCCCGATGGTCTTGCCTTTTTTTCTTGTATAATCTTAGCATTTTTATATTTCATACTCAAAATGAGGTTCTAGAAACAAAGCATTATAGCATGTTTATGACCTGGGATGGATTTGTTGCCTTGAAAAAATTTAACGGAGGAGCTTGAGGGTGGGTCGCGTGAAGGGAACTGTGAAAATGAGAGAGATGCAAAGCAATTAAACCCTGCAAATGGACACCATACAGACGAACTTGTTCTCTGAAAATGAACTCACCAGATACAAACCAGATCGCCAGGATGGTCTCGAAGGCATGTCGTCTGAACTCGAGCGCCGGCAACTTGTTATATGTGTGGCTTGGGGAGAACTTACAGCGGAGGAGAAGCGAGCTCCTTTGGTCGGGTTGAGGGTAGAAGAAGAAGGAGAAGAGAGAGAGAGGGAGGGACGGAGGGAGGGAGAGAGAAGTTTCAAAAATCTGAAAGACGTGTAGGAGTTTCAAGCCCCTTCACATTACCTGATCCACTTCATAAAAAACATATCAAATCTTCAAGTGTTTTTGGCCACGCCACATGTTGTAGCGCTACATGTCTTGAGAAAGTGATAAAAAAAAGCACCACATCATTTCTCCTTAGTTAAATTAGATGGAGTCAACATAGGGATTTGATCGTATTGATTTGACAAATTTTCTGACTTTTGCACTATCTAAGAATTTTACAACACGATTGTACTTTCCCCATGAATTTTAGAATTTTCAGTGCATTTATCTCAAAATTTTATTATATATGATTTCGGTGCACTAAAGTGAACAAAAATTTGACATGATGCTAATTCTCAGTGTGATGTAAGAATATGATGTCTTGTACTGGCTTCTTTGAAACTCACCGATCAACATCACGGTATGTCATTTTATATTTGAAAATTAAGCTTGTCAAACAAGTAGGTCGGACCGGGTTGAAAATGACCCAATCTGAATTGACCCATGTTTATGCAATACAATTTTATCCATCTATACACGACCCGACCCGACATATATCTAACCGAACCGGGCTCCAAATCTTAGCACTTTTTCTCCCTAAATTGTTGCATCTAAATAATAAGCGACTCAATTGACAGGCTCGTCAAGTTTACGAGGGAGCTCAAGTGCTCGAGTTGGGTCATGGGCTAGGATTTCACATTGCACATGAGCAACGTCGAGACATGGGTGAGCATCGCTCTGATAGACAAGAACAAGGAGGCTTTTAAACCATCAACTGGTGACAAGAACAAGGAGGCTTTTAAACCATCAACTAGTTGGTTCCGGTTCGGTTCCCGATTCTACCTGGGAACGAGCCCCATTTCATGTTTTTGGGTAAAGAATTAAATTCTTAAAATACAATATAAAAGCTTACCATTTCGTTACAAAAATATATATTGATCAATTATGAGCAAAAATAAGGGCCGATGCTCATTTTGCCACCTCTATTGAAAACTGCATAAGACTAGGAACACGTGACATAAACAGTATTACAGTACGAAACTCGAGACAACATTTTCAAGTGGATCAACGCGACATTCAGGCAACTTTTCTGAAATGGTAAAAATGGACAGATCAGACTAACAGATCTCCTTGACATAACAAAAAAAATGAGAACTGATGTTATTCAAGCGCCTACCATAGTTTGCGAGTGTGTGATATAGATGATTTACAGACCATCAATTCAAATAACGCCGACAGTTTATCGACTTGCAATGACACGGAATCTTTTTGCCTTCGTCTTCGTGGTTGAAGTGGTAGTCATAAGTGATTTCTTCTCCAGGAAGAATATCTCTCTGTGCAAAGAAAATCACCTGCAATTCAAGAATCAGATAATTTAGTGAATGCTACTTTTAACTGTTACAATGCCATTTAGCCAACAAAAAAAAAAATCTAACAAGTCCTCCAAACTTTGGACAACCACACATCAAACTCTTTGATTATGAACTATGTCTTCTGATGCACTCGCGCATCAGTGTGATGTGCGATGGGATAGTTTTGTCAGTTTTGTGGGTATGCTCAATTCAATTTTAACAAGACTTCGTTTGCATTCTGTATACCGTATCTAATCAGGAAAACAAACATATGCTGGTTTTTCTCAAGGCAGAACTCTCAAAAGAAATTAATACACGGGGGCTGCATTTTCATACCTTTTTCTCATCTCTCACTGAAATCACCTTGGCAACGCAGTTCGGCTGTTCACATAAATTGCACAGAACAAAGATGAGTCAGTTGATTCTTACATACTAGCTTACAGTGTTGCAGAGTGAGGTATGCTCTCAACAAGGTTGACACTGTAATTGTGAAAACCCAAGTCAACTTAGCCAACTCATTCAGCTTCAAACTATGTTCTCTGTTAAGCAGTTCCTGAGCATATGCTACAAGGCTTAGATCTTCCACTGCTACCATTCGATGGCTTAAAATGTTGAATCACATATTTCGATGAACAAATATTGATTGACTTAGAATACTTTCTATGCGTAATGATATTCTAGAATGCCACATTCAAACAAGGAGATAGAAGTTTCAGATCTTCAGTGAAAGTTGGGAAACAGGAAATTTTACCTGGCAAGAATGGTTGACAAAACGAGCAATCCCCCCTTTTCGTGTAGCATCAATTATATGTTCCTTATCTATCCTAAAAAAATAACAAGCACTCTTGCACTGAATTCTTCGCCCAGACTGATACTCTCTCTCTCTTTTATCAGCGATACGTAGCCCAACAATCTCACCGACATACTCAACAACCTACAAGAGCACATGCCCAACTATAAATACTATTCCATAAGCAGGGAAAGAACAATATTAAAGCTAGGGTCCTGAGGCCAAACCATTTCTCCCCGATAAATGAACTGAGAGGCATAAAGTCCTAGGGCATGTATGCCGGACTTGTACACTACTAGACGTTTCCAACCTTTTGCCTGTTTGTAACGGCCATATTCTTTCTGCAGGTGTTTGAAACAAAAATCGTTAGTGTGGCATTCACAAATAACACCGGGCCTTCTGCATAATAACTTGCAAAGCGGAAATTGCTTCCTCTGAATAAAGTACTAAGCACCCACAAAGCTTAAAAGTGGCACCCGAAGGATCCAGATATTACGCGTGAACCTAGCAGAAAACGACAGTAAAGAAACAGAAAATGAAACACGACTTAAAAACTTGATATGACAATCTCACGTGTCATGCACATCTGATGCATGCAAATTGATTATATTAGTTGGAGATAAGACACGGTGGATATATTAGCATACTCGGCAATCAGATTCTGCAACTGAGTGTGGCAACTGTAAGATGGCCTGGGAGCATTTCTTCTGACCATGAATGTGAGTCCAAGCATTGACCTGGTCCGGTGGAACAAGGCTTCCACACTTGCCTTGGTAAAGACCGTGGGAATTACTATGGACGTTATCCCAATTCCTTTCCTCGTAACCCTGCAGAAAAGGTTAAAGTATGAATACAATGTTAAATTGCTGGTTCTTATATCAGTAATTTCGACAAGGGAACCTCGGAAATGCAGAAAGCACCTCTGTCCGAGCACATCTTAAAATATCACCAGAACAGACGATGTCAGAAACGCCAATGGTTGTGGATCCACAATCATCATCTTTATCATGATGCACGCATCTCCCATAGAAATGAACATTCTTGTCGTTGATACCTTCAACCTCACTTTGCAGTAGATCCTACATGCCATCAGAGAAAACACATATTGAGCAAATTAGAAATTGTAGGATCATAAATTACTAGTGCATCAATGTTACTTTGATACAATTTCAGTAGAACTAACCATCAATCCATAGTTAACATGCTTAGCAAGGGATACTTCTAAAACAGCAAGTTTGGACAGTTTCCTATGCTTGCACCAGGTTATCTTGGGTATTGGAGGTTTAACCAAGCAAGAACTTCGGGCTTGGCAGGGCATTTGTTTATAGCGCCCAAGAAAAGAAGGTTACCTCAATTCCTCTCTGTTTTTTGGTTGATTTGGAAGGAGCAGAACAAGAGAGCTTCTGATAGATAGGAATCTTCCATTGCAATTTTTATTGAAAATTGGCTTAAAGTAATACGCTTTTATTATAACGGAACTTGCGTATGGATGTAAATGCCTCCGTTGCTATAGTCGATAATTTATTTTGTATTTGAGCTCTTTTTGGTTTTGAGAGCTATTTTGTACATGGCTTTAGTTTTTTTGGGCTCTTTTTGTGTATGGGTTTGCACCCCCGTGGTGACCTGTAGTTGAACTTCATATCGATAAAAAATCTGTCTACAGATACTATTACAAAACAATTGATTTCTGGCTTCAATTAGAGCCTATGAATAAATTTTCTTGTTTATCCAGCTTGATGACTATTTTGGGTCTACAATAATGAGAAGACTAAGGTGGGTACTTCCTAGGCATGCTTACCAGTTGGAAACTTCGATGCAAACTACCATTATGTCAATAGGCATATCCTGGACAATATCATTTTCTTTTATCAATCATAATTATTGCATTATTTTGCCCTATCATCATTTTAATTACATTACCATCGTAAAGGTTTTTATGTTACTCTCTGACATAATAATTGAGCGAAGAAATATAGATTGTATGATATTGACTAGTAGATATCTATGTAAAAAGCCAGTATTTTTATTCAGTGTTAAAGTAATAATGGAGGCCAATACTTGAAAAGCAGCAAACTGTTACTTAGTTAAAATGTTGATTTTTGGAAGTAAACATAGGTTTATCAGGTGGAACTCGGGGATACACATTGTCATCTATCTTACGATAGACAAAGAGAAGCTCAAGGGAGCTGCATCTTCATTTTCCAGCTCATATATTCTATAAATAACATGGCCAACAGAAGTAATTCTGTAAATGTCCTTCACCTCCTAAATAATCAAAGACTAGACCGTTTTCTTCAAACTTTGGTTAAAAAGGTAAACAAGCACAATGCATATCTATGAAATAGGAAAAAAAAGGTCTCAAAAAGATTAAAGGTTCATTATGGATTATCTTAGGAATGTAAGAGAGTTGACCTTGCAAGTCAAACTAATAGTGAGATAATCCAGTTCGAATCACAAATTACTCAAACTCGGCACGATTCTTTCAAATTTGAGTAGTTCAGGTACTTAATTGAGTGGAATTCATGCTAAAAATACAAGCATAATCGCGCATTCATTACACAATATAGATAGTCCCGAACATCAATTTTAGTAGAATTTTAAAATTGGAGCTCAGCTTCAAGCTTAATTTAAACCTGAGCTCAAAATAAAATTTACTGAGGAATTGGGTCGAGTTGAATTCGAGCTTATTAAAAACTTAATTGGGTCAAGCTCAACCAAGCTTAAGTTGTGTATCGAGCCTTGACTATTCCCGTCAACTTATGCTCAAGTATTAAACTGTGTCAACTGGATCAGATCCTTAAATTATCTGTACGGTTAGGAATGTTAAAGTAACCTTAAAGAAATTCTAAGTCAGTACAATTTCATACAACTGTCACTGATGGCCATCTCAATAGCAACAGATTGCAGTTTCCATAATTATAGAACTACAATATTCAAGAGTCTAACAGCTCACTAAGTCCTCAAACTGAAGGAAGAAATCATCGCGAACTAACGAAATCTTTCTCCTGCTTCACAACAAGATTGAATAGTAAATGATTTTTAAAGCTCAAGAAGACTACAATTCAGAAAGGTTGGAAAGTAAAATGAAAGACAGATTATAGCAGATCTGGAGTTGTACAACATTTTTCAATAATAAATTGTATAGGTAGCAAAGGAAAATCCCTACTAGGCACTGTAAGAAAAATATATCATTCCCGATGTATCTGTTTACTATAATGATAATAGGTACCACAGAATCAATCCAAGATGCACCCACCTAGGCTAGAGTTCCTGTCTTATCTGTTTTATAAAGTAGGGGGATCTCATGGAAGAAAAAAAAAGAATCAATGTAATATGTAAACAGAGTCAGTAAACTATGAACATACTTGGACCAAGCATTGGCTACACTCCAACAAGCAATTAGCTTTGTCTTGCTTCGACCTTTGACATACAAAGCAAAATGCATCAGCATCCATATTTGACAGCCGATCCAGCTCAGCATAGCATCTGCACTGTCCAATGAATATGATCTCGAAGATCAAGAGACTAAATTGCAATATACTGTAAAACCAGAAGAAGAGTAATGTCATCAAACAACTTCATTGCTCACTTAATAGTGGTAGCATCATATGTCCCATGTGCAGGAACTCTTTGCATCTCAGTATCCTTCAAAATTTTACTCAATCTCTTTGTTGTCACAGTTCTGCTATTCTTCAGCAAAAATTTCTTAGAACTGTGGCTCACTCCTGAAGGCATGCAACTTTCATTGGTTATAAAGAAGAAATCATAACAACGAGCCACTTGGAAAAAGGAAAGTTAAAACACAATGTTAATAGAGCATGCACAAATCAAGTATGATACTACCAATTCACTTATAATCTATCAGGCCTTCATCTTCCCCTAGCATAGCATCACCCCGTGAATTTGATCCAACCTTATTTGATGGTATTTGCATTAGATCCCTCATTCTAGTCTTGAGCAAACCCCAGAGAGAGCTTAGTTGTTGCATTATTAAGTGTTCATCATTTTTTGAATTGGAAAATGCCACTGGTTACCCAGACATATCTTGATGCAATTTTAGAAGGTGCTTCTCACCAAGTGTCAAGTAGCTCATACAACAGACAACAATCCATTCAATCTAGAATATACTTACAGAAGCAAAGTTCTTCCAATGACTTACGGATATATATATATATATGTTCTCATTTTGACATATCCAAATTATCCCATAAAGAAGCAATAAAACTTCTTGAGACAGCCTTCAATAACCAGCACACCAATCAGATTGAGGTAAGTTTGAATCCTTCACCCATAAAGTCAATGGGAAAAAGAATTTCCAGCGAGGCGGTCATTCAACCTACAAAGAATTTCCCTCCAAAATCAAAATTCTTTTCTAAAACAATATTTCAAAACATATGTACAGTTGAAAATGAGTTCTATTGTGAAGATCCCAATATATTTGCAAAAAATATGTTTTTTGATAAATTTAACTATACTCCACATGATCTATACAAGACAGTAGAATTTTATGAAAAAATACTGATAGAAACCAAGTCCATCATTTTTCTGATAAAATCCATATAAATTATTCCACAGCAAAGATCTGTAAAATAATCCATTCTTTCTAGTGGAAACCAATCCCATAACTCTAGTCAGATTTAATACCAAAATTGTTGAACCCACACCATATAGGCCCTCTTTTTCATATTTTAATTATCAACAAGCCTGGTTGAATGCATTTATAAGGAAAAATGCCAAAAATACCCATACATGGCTGCTCTTCTTTGAAAAATTGATACTCGCCTCATGCCATTTTGGTTCATTTGGACCTACCAGTGAAATACTACCCCCATTAGTGCAACCCAGCTGCAAAATATTTTCTAGCCAATTTGCACTTCATATGAAGCCAAAATCTTACATCTAATGCTCTTTTTCATATACTTTGAAGTATCATGGGTAATGGCTTTAAATTTTTGATAGGATTGATGAGCAATGGTTGAGCAAAAGAAACCCTAGCCATATCAGTCCAGATAATGTCACTCCTTTTCTCCATGACAAATGATTTGTTTTATCGAGACTGGCATCTACATAATCCCGGCAACAACTAATGGGATTTTTAAAATAAGCCCTTATTGAATTGGAAAAATCAAGCTCCTCCCACTCACATTATAGTGGGAACACAAATGAGGATGACTGCTAAGGCATACGTCTTGGTAATGATGATGATGATGACTAAAAGACAGACGGGACGACCATTGTCAAAGTTTTCACAATTGCATAATGAGAGAAGATACTAACGGCAATTGTCTTTTTCTTTCTGCTTTCATATTATGCTTTCACATTGCACGATGTCTTTTCCCCGTAACACTATGCATCTTTTTCTGTTCACTAGTGACTTTTACTGAAAGACACAGTAACATCACATGAACCTGAAATAATGCAATAGCTTTTGAAGATTCCCTCAACTTATAAAAGCCATCCTTTTCTAACCAAAGAGGCAGGTTCTGAAACCCTCCTCTAAGAAATCATAGAAGACAGAGAAGCCTTTCGATCTCTCTCATCTCTTATGAAACCAGAGAATTCTCTCAAACTTTCCACATCTCATCTTGATCCCACCTCTTGAATATCTTCACTCCTCTTCTTGGAATCCCAAATCTAGTAAGTTTCATATCCACATATCCATATCATCCCTAAAACACCTTTATCTTCCAGATCCTGGAACATAAAGGTGTAGACCAATCACAGGCGGTAAAATTTGCCGATTGTGGGATATGTAAACTACATTGCAAATATGAAATTGGGCAGAAAATAAAGAGCAAACCAGCCACAGGTGGTACGACCTGCCGATTGTGGGGTACGTAAATTAAATTACTGTAGTATAAATTGCAGATAAGAAAAGATCATAATAAATACTGACATTTAAACAATATTCAAAGATTACAAATGGAAATATTAAAATACAAGTGCAAATTTCAGTAAATAAAAACCTTTGTATCCTCAGATCATGAACAAAATCTGGAACATAAAGGTGCTTCAGGAATGATATGGATATGTGGATATAAAACTTACTGGATTTGGGATTACAAGAAGAATGAAGATATTTAAGAGGTAGGATCAAGCTGAGATTCAGAAGAGATGAGAGAGATCGAGAGGCTTCTCTGTCTTATATGATTTCTGAAAGAAGATTTCAGAACCTGCCTCTTTGGTTAGAAAATGATGGCTTTTATAGGTTAAGGGAATCTTCAAAAGCTATTGCATTATTTCAGGTTCACGTGATGTTATTATGTCTTTCAATAAGTCACTAGTGTGAACAGGAAAAGGTGCACAATGTTACGGCGAAAAAACATCGTGCAATGTAAAAGCATAGTATGAAAGCAGAAAGAAAAAAACAATTGCCGTTAGTCTCCTCTCATTATGGAATTGTGAAAACTTTGACAATGATCGTCCCACCTTCGTCTTTTAGTCATCATCATCACCAAGGCGTATACCGTAGCAGTCATCCCCATTTATGTTCCCACTATGATATGAGTGGGAGGAGCTCCCATTAGTTGTTGCTGGGATTGTACAGATGACAATCTCGATAAAACTGATCATTTGTCATGAAAAAAAAGAGTGACATTATCTGGACCGATACGGCTAGAGTTTCATTTGTTCAACCATTCTGTTATTGATTGCTCATCAACCTTATCAAAAATTTAAAACCACCACACTACTTAACCTTGAATCTTCTGATTAAGGTAACAGTATTCGATTCTATGGTTTTTCTGTAATCAAAACTCCAAGCCCTTACCCATGATACTCCAAAGTATATGAAAAAGAACAGGTGTGAGATTTTGGCTTCATATGAAAGAAAAGCAAATTGGCTAGAAAATATTTTGTAGCTGGGTTGCACTAATGCGTGTAGTATTTCACTAGTAGATCCAAAATGTTCCCACCATCTGATGAACTAGAATGGCATCAGGCGAGTATCAAATTCTTCAAAGAGCAGCCATGTATGGGTATTGTTGGCATTTTTTCCTTATAAATGCATTCCACCAGGCTTATTGATAATCAAAATATAAATAGAAGGTCGATATGGTGTTGATTCAACAATTTTGGTATCAAATCTGATCAGAGTTATGGGGATTAGTTTCCGCCGGAAATGACGGATTATTTTACGGATCCTTGCTGTGGAATAATTTATATGGATATTATCAAAAAAATGCTTAAAAACGATGGACTTGATTTCTATCAGTATTTTTTCATAAAATTCCACTGTCTTGTATGGATCATGTGAGTATAGTTAAATTTATCAGAAAACAAATATGTTGGGATTTGATGATAGAATCCATTTTCAACGGTACATATGTTTTGAAATATTGTTTTAGAAGAGAATTTTGATTTTGGAGGTTGCCTTTGTGATAAAAAAAACTTTTAATCACATTTACTTCCAAATATTGCAAAATAAGTAAAAAGCTGAACAAACTAAATCTAGACGAGGAAACTCTTAATCATCTTAGTCAAATCATCGCTGAGATTGATAGCAATTCCTATGATGAATCTGAAGAAAATGGACTTCAGGTTAATGATATTGAAACCACTTCCTCTGATGAATCTGAAGAATCTCAAAACTCTTTTGAAATAAATGTCTTAACAAAAGAGAAAGAAATTCTTTTACAAAGAGTTGATCAAATCGCTAACCCTAAAGATAGAATTAAATATCTCAGTGGTCTCTAATCTTCTATAATCTCCAAACAGCATTCTGATACCCCTTATAATCCTTCTACCATTCTCAATAGAGAGAAGAAAATTGTTTCTCGACCTATTTCAATAAACGATCTTAATCAAAAGATCAACCATCAGAAGCAAGAGATTCAGAATCTCAAGCTTACACAAATTGAGATGCAAAAGGAAATTCTAGAGATAAATCCAAATTCATGAAAGGAAAAAAAGAACAGATTGAAGAATCTTCGGAATCCCAGTTCAATTCTAACCCTAACCCTTCGATCCAAACTTCTTGCTCATGCTTTCAGAAATAACCAGAAAATGGTTTATAAATATCACTATAAGAATCAATAATGAGTTCATTTTAAATACAACACTCTACAGGAGCAGATCTCAACTGTATTAGAGGTCTTATACCGACCAAATATTTTGAGAAAACAATCCAATCACTCAAATCAGCATCAGGAAATAAATTACATATTAATTATAAGATTCCAAAAGCCGAAATAGTAAAAGATACTACTTATAAAACTTCATTCCTTTCTTGTCAAAAACATTAAACAGAATGTCATTTTAGGGACTCCTGTTGTAGGACTTATACAACCTTTTAAAGTTACTAATGATGGTATCGAGACCAAATTTTTAAAAAAGAAAATAATTTACAATTTTATAAGTAAACCACAAACCAACTTAAATATACTTCAGGAACAATCCATTTCTGACATAAATTGTATCATCCAAAATAAAGAAAACCACTTCCAATATTTAAAAAAAACCTTGAACATAAAAAGATTGAGCAAAATCTTTCTGATCCTACTATTAAGAAAAGAATTGCTAAACTTGAAACTTGCATAAAAAGTTGCATATGTTCGACACTTCCTAATGCTTTTTGGTCTAGGAAATAGCACATAGTTGATTTACCCTATGAATCAGGATTTTCTGAAAAAGAAATCCCGACCAAGGTAAGACTTTCCCAAATGAATCATGAAGTCATGAATTTTTGTCAAAATGAAATCCAGGAACTTCTTGATAAAATTCTCATTAGGAAGAGCCAATTACCTTTGAATTGCTCTGCTTTCTATGTCAACAAAAATGCTGAATTAGAAAGGGGAGTTCCAAGATTGGTAATCAACTATAAACCTTCAAATACAGCTCTGAAATGGATAAGATATCCAATTCCTAATAAAAAAGATTTATTGAATAGATTACATAGTTTGAAATTATTTTCTAAATTTGATATGAAATCAGGATTTTGGCAAATACAAATCAATGAAAAGGACAGATATAAAACTGTATTCACTGTCCCCTTTGGACAGTACGAATGGAATGTCATGCCCTTTGAATTAAAAAATGCCCCATCTGAATTCCAGAGAATCATGAATGACATTTTTAACCCACATTCTGATTATATCATTGTATACATAGATGATGTTCTCATTTTTTCCTCCAACATTGACCAACATTTTAAACATATTAATCATTTTATTAACATTGTTATGAAAAATGGTTTGGTAGTTTCCCCAACTAAAATATCCCTTTTTCAAACCAAAATCAAATTTCTAAGACATCATATTCATTTAGGAACCATGATACCCATTGAAAGATCAATACTTTTTGCTGAAAAATTTCCTGATGAAATCCGAGATAAGAATCAATTACAAAGATTTCTTGGGAGCCTGAATTATGTTACGGATTTTTTCCCAAATATCAACATAATTTGCAAACCCCTCCACCAGAGACTTAAAAAGGAACCTCCACCTTGGACCTCGATTCATACCAATATTGTGAAACAAATTAAACATAGCATCAAAGAGATTCCTTGCTTACATCTTACTGACCCATTTGCTTTCAAGATTGTTGAATCAAATGCTTTAGATATAGGATACGGAGGAATTCTAAAACAGACAAAAGACAACAAAGAACAAATTCTTCAATTTGTCTCCAAACACTGGAATGACTGTCAAAAGAATTACTCCACCATAAAAAAGGAAATCCTTGCTATTGTTTTATCTATATCTAAGTTTCAAAGAGAACTTTTGGATCAAAAAATTTTATCGAGAATTGATTGTAAATCAGCAAAAGACATTTTGCAAAAGGATGTTCAAAATATTGCTTCAAAACAGATTTTTGCCAGGTGGCAAGCCGTGTTATCTATTTTTTATTTTAATATTGAATTTATAAATGGTGCCTCCAATTCCTTACAAGATTTTCTCACACGAGAATTCTTACATGGAAAATGCCTCCCAAAAAACCCATCAGAAGAGAAAGGCAAAGAATTTGCCAAGTCTCCGAAGTAAAGCCCAAAGGCTTGACCAATATCAAGAGCAAGCTACAAGCAGCTCAACAACCAGAGCAAACCTTCAATACTACTATATCACATCAAGCCAATATGCCTTTGAAAAAAGGCATAAAGGTGTTTTCTTTTACACCTTTACTATATAGAGAGAGAGACTAGCAAAAAGTGCAAATGCCATCGACCAAAGAAAGACACAGGGAGGCACGTAATGTGCTTTCCCTATGAGTATTTTACTTTTCATAGTGATAGAGTCGCATGCATTCTCTTCGTTAAATAACTAGAACTCATTTGTGATGGTATCGATCAAAGGTCAATAAGGAGAGGATCAATTTCCAGAATGATCATTTCCCACCACACAATCTATCTAGCAAGAGAAAAGAATAGACTAAAGAAGAAAACGGAATATAACAGTTCATGGGGCGCGCATATGCAAGATGCATATCATCACGGGGAGAGAGAGAGAGAGAGAGAGAGAGAGGGCGGGCTTATCTTCACTTGTTGAAAACACATTTTAAGCCATTATCGACCAGTATAATCATTTGGGAACTGCTTAAATAACTAGAAAAGGTAAAAGTTTTACTGAATTGATTTTTAGATATGCTCAATGACCAGGTCAAATATTAACAGACGCATACATCTTTCAGGCCAATACATTTATAAGGTACCTATTGAAGACTGGCTTATGTATTTATCCTGAATGATGTTGGGTTATAGACGGTACACAACTGAGTTTTGGAAGATATGTATTAATTCAATGATATATACATGAGATCTAACGAGCTCAGTTATATTGCTTGGATAGAGGGAAATTCATTCTATTCAGTAGAAAACACAGAGTGCAACACTAAAAGGGGAAGGAAAAAATATCAGTTAAAAAGGATGGGAAGGGATTCACCCTCATATTCATTATAAACTAAGTGGTTTCTTTTCACACATTATAGGGGAATGCCAAGACCTGCCACAGGAACTGCACCAAACTCAAACATGAAACCTTTTTTTTCTTCTTTCAACATAAAAAGCAACCCGCCAATTCAAAATGCGAAAAACTATGGTGGGGACTGCACTTTTACCTGGCAAAGATAGCTCATTAAGGCTACGTGTACGCTCCCGCGCTCTTCCAAACTTTGATTCCAGTTGAGTGTGAGTACCGACCGCACTATTTTTCCGACATTTTCCTGCACATAACTTGTCTTCTTCTTCCAGGCATGCAATAATCGATGATTTTGCAGCAGAATATTGCATCAGTTTGCAGGATCTAAGATCATGACTTCTACTGTCATTGTTTTGCACCAAATTAGATATTTCATTGGCCGATTCATCAATTCCTCCGTATGCAACCTTTTTCAACTCACTCATGCATGCTAGCGTATCCCTAGAGATTCCAGGTGCTCTACATTTACTCGCTTTTTTTAAAATCCTGCTCAGTGAAATGATTTTTGCTGGCTTTGACACATTTAAATCAAAGTTTTCTCTACATATCTCACCATATAGTCCATATACCATAGGCTTTGCCATCTTTCGACCAGCATTGACCTGCAATGGAGATGCCTTTCTGAAACCAATCGATGTGTGCTCGGTTAACTTCCCAGCATTTTCATGACACGTCACATCCAATTTTGGCTGCCCAGAAGCATCGCTATCACTTATTCCCCGGAACTTCTTCACACATCTAACTAGGGGATCTTTACCATAATTAATGTGATCTCTCAAAGCTATCTGTTTATTCCTTACCTCCTCGTTGTTGTATATTCTCGGCAGGTTTCTCTTCCGAGATGAAAAATTTGAGGGACCTAATGGAGATTGGTAGCACCTGAAATTGGTTCTACATAAACAATCATCACCTGAACATGATGTTCGATGGTCAGAATGGAGAAACGTCTGTTTGTCCTCAAACGAGCAAGAGCCATGGTCTTCATAACCAGAAAATGTTGTTTTACTAGTATGTCCTGCGGTGGAAAATGATGACCCCAGTTCACTCAACTTCATAACCCTCCGTCTCTTCCGAATCTTCAACACAGTCTTTGATTTATGCAGATGCTTTGACCTTTTATGAACAGGAAGGTTGTCATGGATTCGATTTCGACCTTTGTTCCATGTCAAGGAACCCATGAGCTTCAGCTCATCCAGAAGACTATTAGACAAGTGATTACTAGTTACTTCCGAAGGTAATTCTCTTTTAGCATTGGCCCAAGGACTGGTGCAATGAAACTCAGCACTTCCTTTGCTTTCAGAAGGGTAATCAGGTGAGCAGCATTGATCAACACCTGATCCTTCATCAACTACAAGTTGATTTGCACATTCAACATGCTGAGCATCAACGGGACAACTGCTATCATTATTAACTGTAATTGATGCTTGAGTCACCGCAGCGGTAGAGCATCCAGAAGAAACAATAGATTTTTCATGTTCTTTCAAAGAGTCAACTGTCTGCTCAGCCCTATCAAAGCATTTACCAGCCCTATCAAGATGGACTTCATTTCCTCTTCCACCCACCAAATGTCCCACATGGTCCATGCACGTTGCATTGCCCTTCCCTTCCACCACACTGGGACCATCACTACATTGGAAAGACAGATTGACACTACTCCCAAGAAACTTTCCAGACAAGTCAACACTCTGATCTAAGGCTACATGCTTCTCCTCCAAACGAGCATTATCTTTGACACTTTCAGCAGAAACAAACATGTGAGGTTGGCTACCAGCCCTTCCTGTCCATTCTTTGGAAGTTCTGTCAGCTTGAAATTCAAAACTTCCTCTTGGATGTTTCATCTGCCTAGCACCTACAGAAATGCTTGGGGAGCACATAGATCCTAATATGGGACAGCATCTCTCAACAATGGTTGGTGCAGGGAATATTCTTTCAGATTGGTTAAGTCTGACAATTGAAACTGATAAGTTAGAGGAAAGAATCTCATGTTGCATTATAAATTAGAGGAACACAGATCCCATGCTAGACATCCTCACAGTTCTGACTTTTGAGATGCATTATGGGTTCTATTCCATGCAAATTTAAATTTTCCTCATGTGAAAGCAACTATTTTAGCTCACAAGAACTCATGTACTGGCATGCAGTTCAAACATTTTATTCATCTGAAAAACAATAATGCGTAGCCTCAACTCTATGACATCAAAACTCACTAACTTAACCAGATACTCATGAGAACAACCTTGTTGAGGGCTGTTTATGTTGAAGAGGCCCCTCTGGAGTTTGACACTGCATGTTATCTTCTAGTGAAAATAAAGTTGCTGTAGCCATTGAGACATCACACGAGTAATTCTGACCTGAATAAAATTAGAAGAGTGTAAACTGTTCATGATTCATACCTCATCAAAAACACAAACGATCATCTAAACCTCTAAACTTAAAACACTGATATGTAAAATCATGCAAAGTAGCTTGCCAGTTTCAGGAGGAACACCGAACATCCTGCTAGTAGCAACCACAGGCAGTGAGGTGGTGTCCACCTCAAAATCGTTCTGTCTACAAGTAGATCGAGTCCCCTCCTCTCTAGCTACTTTTAATGGATCAACAAGAGTATGTTGCATTTGAAAAGAAGAGGAGCCACTGTACCCCTCATTACCATGGGCCATTAACCCCAAAATTGCTTGTTGCTGTTGAGATAACTCTAATATTTGCCTCAATGCAAGTAATCTCATATTGTCATCAAGTAGACATGAGGTCATATTGGTGCCCTTTTGTTTTGACAAAGTTGGGTTCATATTTGGCTCCAGATGGAAGCCCGATGACGATGCTTGCAATGGCGAAAGGAGCCTAAGACACATGGATGAAATCATTGGCTTGAGGAAGTTGTCACCATTATGAACACTACCATGGGAGGAGAACTTCTCCCCAAGACTATTACTCTCTCTATTGAAAGCAGCATCTTGAGGCTGATTAAGTAATCCATCTGAAAAGTGATTCCTCCTCGCTGAACTTCCAACAGTAAAACCAGTAAAAGCAGGTGCATTTTCCTCCTTTCCATGAATTGTAAACCTTGATTCTGTTGGAAGGCAAGAGGAATCAGAAATACATTTAACTACATTTCCCTTGTCCACAATTCTTTGAAAATCCGCACCAGAGTTGTCCAATGGCACTTTTGAACCATAGTAAAAAGTTGGGTGAACATCAACTGAATCACGCTTAGCAGTATCAGAGATGGAATGCCATAACATAGGCTTTACTACTTCACGGCCTTTGATATTGTCATTGGAATCTTTGTATTGTCCACTCCCAAAACTATTATTAGATTGTTGAAACAAGGATATTTCTGAGCTCTTGTCTGTATCACCTTTACCATTTTCAATGTGGCTATAGACTGCTTTATTCACATTATAGATGAGATTCCCTCGGTTCACTTGTCTTTCTCTTCTTGCACAGGCACTAGATGAGCTCATGTCATTTTTAAGACTCTGCCTAGATTCCTCCCTCTTACTAGCAGTTGCCGCTGCATCAAATTCAAGACTAAGTTGGTCAGTCGCTTAACTGGAAAAGTAGCAGAAAGCATGATTATAATGACAACATTGATACTATCTGATCGCTCTTATTAATAAGAACAGTTTACTTACAATTATGTACCATTTGCTCATGGAATGTCTTTGACCTATTACACAATGAGCCTAAACATCCTAATCCCATGAAAGATTGGAATGAATTTCCTGAAGCCCGATTTTTCTCATGCGGTTGCCCAAGTCCCAACTCAACCTTTGAAGCGGCAGGATCTCTATCTACCAAAACACAATCATTTGCAGTTTTCATCCCACTGAATCTAGTCCCCGAATCTTCAGCCAGGTTTCTTGAATCCTGAAAAGAAGGAAGCTCGTTGGCTGCAATTGAAATTTTCCCGATGGAGCCAACATAACAGGAAGATCGGCTCCCAATATCTGGTTTTCTAGCAAGAGAACTAGATGCGCCAAAACATCTTGACCTTTGACGCTCAAATATTTCATTCTTTCTTGCAACATGCTGATTCTGGTCCAAACTACAAGGCAATCCCTTGGAAAGATGGTTGTTTCTACCCTGAATGCTTCTCTGCAATTTGTTTTGCGACCCATCAATGACAAAATTCTCATCAGAATGCTGGTCATTTAATGATACAGCATTGACAGAATGCTGCCCAGGCCCCATTAAACATCCACGTGAACCAGCCAACTGACAGAGGCTTGTGCTATTGCATTTGGGCATAAACAAGCTAGAATTAGCCAAGCCAGTAGTTCCAGATAACCCTTCAGGCCAGTCCCACCCACAATGGTCTTCTGGAACCATAATCTAAAGCACCAAGAAAATGTCACCATCCAGTTGTCTTGTTGCTTCAAAACATGCCAAAAGAAAATATAGGACTTCATTTCAAACAATACAGAGTATAAAACAGACCCGTAAGCAAGGTGGAGTTACTTAGGAGACAGGTCAGGCTATCCATGCCTGCAGACATCTGCATGGACGACTTGACCCACAAGAAGTAGACAATCTGCTTATGCATAAGGATTCTGTCTTATCAACTACGGAAAACTTAAAATGGACGCACACTATCTAATGAATAAAAATGAACCACCTAGACAAAAATAATAGAAAATAGAATATTAACTCTTGCTTAGATAACTGGGACAACATGCGTTTGTATAATATATATTGAGAGCACCCTTCTCAAGAAGCAATAGTGTAACCAAAGAAGTTCATGCTTGGACAAATATCAGATTAAATTAAGCTGGATATCTAGTGGTTTTTTAAAAAAGCACAGGGCAGATGATAGTTAGGAAGCTAAGCTCATTTTATGGCACATTCCATACTCCTCATCAAATATGATCCTAGAAACTATGGCTGCGCTAGGTTTTATCATGATACTGAATAAAAGGAAAACTATTTATATGTACATAGAGACTCTTTACCCGATAAGCATGTACATTAAGACTCAAATCACGGGTTCCCTCCACATCTATTCACTTTCCTCTAGAAGCTCCATCTGAGTGCAGAGACGTGCATGCAAACACCTTAAAAATACTCGTGCCATACTTACTGCTAAGTCACAAAAGGTTTGCGCCTAGTGAATCATAAAAATTTTGAGAAAAAAACATTTCGTTTAAGAGGAAACTAGCAAAGTAGGTAAACTTCGGGTGCATGAATAGTATTGAGAAACCACAGATAACTTACCCCAAACTTTTCAAAGTAGAGCTGACGCCACTGAGCTATGGTATGTCCGTTATCCATAAGAACCACATCCCCAGGGTGAGCATCAGATGACCCTGAATGCTAAAAAGAAATAGCAAACCAAATCAGTTCTCCAGCACTTGTAAAGGCCATCATCCAAGCACACTGCCCAGAATAATAAATATCCATTTGTATGGACATCTACCACCTAGAAAGCATTAACTTAATAATATATGACTGGAAGTTACCTCACAGAACTTAGAGACAGACATATGGGAGTAGTGGCATGAACAAACAATACCCAGTACACCAGTATTGCTGAGCAGTAAAATCCCACCTTACAATAGCCAAAACAGAGTTAACTGATCAAGATTTCCGCTAGAGAAGCATCTCTTATCCATTAACTAAGACCGAATTGCATAATCACTCACTTGTTCTTAGACAATATACTCGAGGACACCCACTGAAGGACACTGCTGGAACATGACCTCCTCGATCATCTGCTTGTAATGGGAACTTTTGACAAGTTCGGGCGTTTGAAGTATGGAGCTTCTCATAGTATACAGAACTTGTTCCATATGGTCCTTTGCCTGAACAAGAAAAGTCCAGCATATCCTTTTTACTGGGAATTGTATTACTGACAACTGCCTGGGCCAAGTCAGATTGATAGACATCCATATCTGCATTTGCAATCCCATGATGAAAAGCAGACTTGACACTACGGTTGGGTTTTGACAAAACCATAGGTGAAACAAGGGAATACGAATATCCTGAGAGGTTTTCACCATTTACAACATTTAATGCTGACCCACCAAAGTTCAGTCGTGCCATGTTGCCAGAAGGAGCACTATGAGTGACATTATATCCCTCAAAGGGAAGTTTTGCAGACTTGCTGATAGGTTTGGGCTCTGTAAAATCCTTCATACTGCAATAGGGATGATGGTCCAGATATTAAAGCCAAGACTGAATTTTCTGAGTCCTGATTTAGTGACCTGGTTGAGCAAAAGTTTGTTGAAGCGGAAAAAAGGTTGCCTTTTGCATTACTTCATGTCCAATTTGTCACATATCTCAGCTGAGGTATGGAAGAGAATGTAAACCTCTGTTGATCTCTATCTGTCATGAAAGAATAAATCACCTCATCAAGTCCATCATACAACAAAAATGTTCATTTTATCATCAGAAAGAACCAGGAAAAGATCATGGAGATATACGCGTGTACTCTCATATCAACATAAATAACTAATCATATAAGGAAATTTACCATAACAGATAATGGGAACGCAAAGGAAAAGATCAAAATGGGAACAAACATGTGTATTCTCATTTAGAAATAATGAGATATCTAGCAACGAATCCAACCATCCCAAAAGTTGAAATGATAAGGTGAACGACACAACATCTTTGACAGATCTTGTTCAAAGCACGTTGATATTCAATATGGAAGACTTAGGCTGCATTTAATATACGAAAATTTGGCTTTTCAGTTTTGGTTTAGAAACAAATAGTCGCATGGAATCATGTCCTTCGGACAATTGGAAGCATTTTCAAACGAAAATGTGGAGCTCTATTTTAGTCTATTTGGCCTTGGTGTTGAAAACAATACAAAACAGTTTTCTATGTTTCCTTTTCATTTGAAAACACATCTCAAGACCAGCATCCCACTCCTCAGATGGAAGCCAGTGTTCTCCTCTCCATGGTACATGGTTTTCTCTTTTAAATCTTGACGCGAGGTTTTTTGTTTGATTTAATCATCAGAAACGATAAAAAAAATGGTCAAGGTGATCACCATAGTAGTAGTACATAGTTGGTATACTTGAATAATAGGAGGCATGCTCTACAATTAATACGATGAAAATAATGTAGTCGTATAAACATAACCAAAGATGTTTATACAAATTTCACTAAAGTTTCATCTTAGTTACAAGACATGTCTAAGAAGCTTTTTTGGGGGGAATGGTAATTTGGTAAATAAGTTTATTGTATTAACTAAATGCATGGTCGATTTGAAGTTTAGTAACAAAATTCAAGGGGCAAAGTTTAGGATTTAGAAGTAGAGGATGCTAGGTGAAAAATAGGAGAACTACAAGAGGGAGTTCAATCCTTTTTTTATCACAATAAATTTAAGAGAAGATATTATCAAAGGAAAAGATAAAAATAAGTATTTAACAAGCTTTGGTAATTTTTATATCATTCTTGATTTTGAAAACAACACAACCCAAAATAATTTCAGGATTTCCATTCCTCTTTGAAAATTTTTATTTTCACGAACTAAATGCAATTCAAGAAAACAAGAACTTGAATAGAAAGCTATTTCCTTTTTCATATTTTTACCGTGAATAGAAATTGACAGAGTTTCCACGAAACAAACGGGTCCACCATTCCTCTCACATGAAAGTAGAATAAAAGTCGAATAGAATGAAGGACAGAACTACTATTGTGCATGCAACTGGCATAAATAGAGTGAAGGTAGAAACAAAACCCACTAATTGCGAGCACATCAAACATGGTGGAGAGAAACTTGGCTCTCATAGAGACTTCATACTCAGTAACCTTATCCAGCTCGCCCGATGGTTAATGAACGGACTCAGTAATTACAGAGTAACCTAAGCCTTCCCTTGACATACAGTGTCAGCAATAGAGATCCTTTTCGATCATTTGAGTCCACTTCATCCCGTGTCTACCTAAGAATTTCACGGGACAGAAAGGCCTCTCCAACATTCCCAAAGTGATTTTACGACAACAAGCATATTTCGGAGCTGGTGGCTTTACTCGCCAGCCCATTGAGATATCATGCAATTATAGCATAAACGAGGAAATAATGATGATCCAGACAGCATGAATGCGATGCACACTCATATCGACATAACAGATTATGGGAACACAAAGGAAAAGATCAAAATGGATAAAAACATGCGAATTCTCATTTAGAAACAATTGAGACAACTAGCGATGGATCAAACCCATCCCACTAGTCGAAGCCACAAGGTGAATAACACAACATCCCCGATAAATCCCGTTCGAAGCACGTTGCTGTTCAATATGAGAGACTTCGGCTGCATTCGGTAAACGAAAATTTTGGCCTTTTTCAGTTTTGGTGTTTGGAAATGGGATACGCGCATGGAATCGTGTCCTTCGGACTCTCGAAAGCATTTTCGAACGAAACTGCACAAACAACTCGCGTATCGCTCACCACGGAACCGAGTTCGAACGCAAACACGGAAGCCAACAGCGACGGTCCAAATTCCACCGAGCCAGAGCAAACGCAAACGATCGCGTCAGTCACCTGATCAAAGAGGCCGTCGCCGCGGCGGCGACGCCGAAGAAGAAGCCGACGGGACGGTCCTAGAGGCGACCGCCGCAGCATCGTCGGACAACGCTCGCCGTCAGCTGCGACTCCATCAGAGCTCGCTGACAACACCAATGCACCCGCGGAACGAGACGATCGAGAAGCAAGAGTCGAGGTGTAGAAGACGAAGCGCGCTGGTCATGGCGAAGGCGGCGGCAACGATTCCATGGCCGACGAAGAATCGATGGATGAGCGCGAGAGCGAGGAAGGGGAAGAGCAGTGAGCAGCGAGCAGTGAGCGGCGAGCAGCGTCATCTGGTGATCGTTATAGCAAGTTTCGATAAGGGGTGGGGTAGGGGGACAGTGACGCGACGACGGCAGTTGCGGGCGGATCGAGGGAGCCTGGGCCGTTGGATCTTGGTGCGAGAGGCGACGGTGGGCCGTGGGATTGTGCGCACCAGCTGGGCATTGGAATGGGTTTTGCCTGGGACCGAGACGGACTGTAGTGGCGTCCGCCAGAATTGCAGAGCATGCGAGGGGAGGGGGCAGCAGCGGTGGGGCCAGGCGAAGGGGGAGGCTGCCACGTGCGGCAAGGGGATTGGTTATGGCAGCGAGACGGGGACCAAATTGGCCGAACGAATTATTATCGTATGGTATTCTAGCGGCGGTCGTAATCAATTTATTTTCGAAAATAATTTTTTATTAAAATTAATTTTTTAAGTTTTATTTTTTGGATGAGCATTTGAGAAAAAACACATTTGGTTATTGTATAAAATTTCTATTCTCATAATAAAAAAATGCATTTGATACGACACTAAAATCTTTTTATAAAGTAATATTACTTTCAGTTTTTTAATAATTTTCTCTTAGGTTTTTTTAATTTTTTTAAAATATTTCTTCCTCCTTTAGCCGGTCGTCAGGTCTCTAGAGACGAGAGTCGACAAGGTCGACCTTGCCATGGCCAGACAAAATCAACCTCCCCAAATCTAGTGAGGTCGAGCCTTGCTCGTCTAACCACTGTCCCTCGACCAGCCACTGCGTGGTTGTCCGAGGCCGAGCCTTAGCAATAGCCGGAGACTAGATAAAGGAGTAAGAAGAAGGAAGGAAAAAAAGAAAAAAAAATGACCTGTTTTAGAAATTGTTCCCAAGAACAACTTCTTATTTTGTTTCAAATCTATTCCCTAGTCACTTTCCTATTCCAAGAAAATAAAAAACTAATTGACGTTACCAAGCGAATTTTTATTTATTTTTATTCCGAAAAACAAACGAACAGAAAAATAGAGAAACAAGATAATTACCAAATATGCCTTAAACATCTCAATGTAAAAAATTTATCATCCTTCTTCTCGTAATTCATGATGACCCTGGACTTATTTTAAAGGCTCCCCCGAAAAATATTTTGTAGAAAAATGTTTTCTTCATTTTTCGACATTTAGATAGTTCAGAAAATTGAATTAACGAAAAAAAATTTCCTAATTATTGAAAAAAGTTTTCCTCTTAAAACTAAGATTTTGGAAAATAATTTCCTCATAAAAAATTGAAAATTACTTTCTAAATTATGACCATGTATTGGAACTTGAATAAAATACTCTGTGTTTTGACACATGGACCCCAACACTTGCTCCTAGGCCCTTGGTAGTGGGACTAAGGGTGCGCGTGAATCATTACGTGCTGCGTACTATTTACGAACAGAAATGATTTTTTTATTACGTGTGGAAACAATTTACGAGTATTTAAAGGCGTTTGATAAATTGTCCAAAATTTCTATTCCTAGAGTAGAAAAGAACAGAAATGCGTTTGGTAACTACACAAAATTTCTGTTCCCAAATAATATTTTAATAATATTTTTGAATTGTTTATTTTTTTTTTCTTTTTATTCATTTTTTTCTTTGGCACATGGCCGTCGAAAGCGACCGGCCACAGCCCGAGGGCGCGAGGGCGTCACGGCCCTCGCGGGCCGCCGGCGAGGCGAGGGTCGCCCTCGCTAGGCGAGCGAGGGCTGGACCCTCGCCGCCTAGGCGAGGCGGCCTCGCCCAGAGACGGCGAGGCTCGGCCTCGCCCAGATCTGGCGAGGCCGAGCCTCGCCGTCGCGACCCACGGCGAGGTCGGCCGCCGTGGGTCGCGACGGCGAGGCTCGGCCTCGATCCGGGCGAGGCCGAGCCTCGCCGTCTCCGGGCGAGGCCGACATCGCCGTCGCGCCGACAGAGGCGAGGCTCGGCCTCGCTCGATCCGGGCGAGGCCGCCTCGCCCGGGCGGCGAGGTCCGGCCCTCGCCCTCGCCGGCGAGGGCCGTGACGCCCTCGCCGGCCTGGGTCATGGCCGTCGCCGGCGCCGGCGCCAACCCAAGGAAGAAGAACACAAAATTAAGAAAAGAAAAAAAGAAAGAAAAAAAAAAACTCGATTCTCAAAATTGTCCGAGAAACAAGAAGCAACTTTTTTTTACTTCTTGTTTCTCTTCCAAAACTGTTTCTCGGCACAAATTTTTGCAAAAATGTGCCAAGGAACAAAAAATTTACCAAACGCATTTCTGTTCCCAAACTATTTCTGGGAACAAAAGAACAGAAATTTTCACTATTTGGCACGTTACCAAACGGGCCCTAAGTACATCAAGGTTGGGCCAAAGACCCCGATGCCCTGGCTCGGATACATCTAGGCTACAATCGGCTAATTCGATGCCGGGCCAAGCCCAAGTGCTAGGGACTAAGGCTTAGTCTTGATGGACTCGGGTATGGGCGCCAAGGTCCCGGGTCTAACCTCGACGAATCCAGGTCCGAGCGTGAAGGGATCGATATGAGGCATGGCCTCGATGGACCTAGGAGTAGGCACCAGTATTAGGAAGGCGTTAAGGTTCAAGGCTCGGCCTCGATGGACCCAAGCCCAAAATCGAGGGACCTAGGCCCAACATCTATAGACTTAGGCCAAGGCACTAAGAAGCTGGACACGTGCACCGAGTTTTTGGGCTCGGTTTTTATGAACCCAAGACTAGACTCTAGTGCCCGTGCTGAGTTCCTTGACTATCATGTGTAAGTTACCATCACCTAAATAGTGTAGAGGAAAATCAAAATTTCCTTACCAAACAACGAAACAAATTCTCGCCGTTGTCTCTGCCGTCGCATACAAGAGCCCATCAGCGGCTCCGGCTCGTTTTCTCCGTCCGATGAGTGAAGGTCTTCCGGAAGTTAGGGTTTTCCTCTCGCGTCTCTCCTAAAATCACAACGAGCTTCCGCTGTCGCCTCACTCCATCTTCTCTTCTCCAACGAACGAAGCCCCCTCCGCCATTGCCTTTCAAGAGCCCATCGGCACCTCCTACTCATTTTCTCCGTCTGAAGAGCGAAAATCAGGTTAGGATTTTCCTCCCCTTTCGTTTATATTTGTGAGTTTGTACCCCCATTTGCTTAATGGGAATGAGGTTTACTTATGTTTCTCTTTGCGAAAAGTATTTGATGGCGAGAATGGAACGGCTTCATTCCTTGAGATTTCAGAGAAAATGAGAAGACGAAGGCGATTTTGAGAGAGAGAAAGCTTCTGTTCGTGAAGCTTTTGTTTGTATTTGTGACGTGAAGAGTGATGGAGAGAGAGAGCTCCTTCTTGGGAGAAGGAAGAAAGAGCGCAAGAGCTAACGGAGACAGAGATGGGAGGGAAATTTCAAAATCCCTTGAGAGGTGAGACCTGCTTTGACACATGTTGCACACCTAATGGACTGTCTCAGCGATGACATGGCGAGACAGTCTTGCACAATATTTTCTCCTCATATGCAAGTCATTAGCACCTAACCAGTATAAGAGGAAAATTGAATTTTTCTTACCAAACAACGAAAAATATTTCTCAATTGTCTCCGTTAAACACTAGAAAATATCATCCTTTTTTTAGAAAATAATTTTTCAGAAAATATTTTCCGGATATCAATTTATTGGCGAAAACAAACTGAGCTTAAAAGTATTTCGATTACTAACTTATTACTTGTATTTTGATTTATTAGTCACTAACGTAATATGTCTATAATCATTTATTTATAAAAACCTTGTACCATATACGAGAAACACTATGTTTGTTGGGCTGCAATGGCGGCGAGCCTCCTCCGTCGCTCTCCCTCGCAGCGCGCGCGAAGCAGAGAAGCAGCGCCGACTCCATGATCGGTCGACGCTCTTCTCCCTCCTTGGATCGCCAAAAGCTTGGTGCTTGAGCCCCTCTCCGCCTCGCCTCCCTCCCTCCCTCCCTCTCTGCCAATCGTTCGTCGGTGCTCTGGTCGGTTTGAATCGTCGAAGCCATCCTTCCTGACCGGCGCGGCCGGTCTTCTATCGGAGCGGCCGCGGAGGCGGCGGGGGGGAGCCGGCTACTCGAGCGAGGGCTCGCGCCGCCCGTGTTGATTCTCGGGCGACGTCGCGATGGAGGATTCGGAGTTGATGCCCCCGTTTCCTCTGCGCAAGAGGCCGCGCCTCAAGAGCGAGACCTGCGAGACCCTGGTTCGCATCTTCTCCCTCTGCGGCGACCCGAACTACGCACCGCGCGTCGTCAAATTCGATACCCACTTGCCAAGTTCAGGTATTTGCGTTCTCTTTGTATTCACCTCTGAAATTTGAGTTCAATAATGTGGCTTGGGCTTGCTATGTTGGTAGCATTTTGCTGCTTGCCCTGTATCGAGATCTTTGGGTCGTTAGAATCGTGTGAAACAGTAAACCCGGAGAGATTTTTTGAGTTACAACTCGAAAAGAGAGGAAATTTGGGCTGGTCTAAGCAAGGGCCACAGTTGGGAACAAGGATAGAGCTAGGCTAAACGCCATAATGATTGCTTTTGTTGATTTTTGGCTCTAGCTAAGCTTCATATTTTGTCTGTAAAGCTTTAGCATTTGAACAATATTGCAAACCCACTGAAAAAAGTCGTCATTGTGCATATGATGATTTTGTTAATTTATGAGGATGATGGACATAATCGATTCATCGAAACCTTGAGAGAAATGTCAAGCTTTATTCCACATTGGTTGTTAGTGCATTTTTTTGTGCTTTTTGATATTATCTAGACGGCCGAGTCTGTTTGGTCTGTATTATGCTACATATGAAGGTTATGGACTAAGAAACTATGATGTAGTTAGTCTGTCTGTATAATGCTTTCCCTGGGCGAACTACTTGATATATATGGGTATTGTGGTTATTTCTTATTTGTAGTGTTTATTACGTTAGTGTTTGACATCTACAATGATAAAGATGGAATATTTCTTTTCTTTTCCATTGTTTGTAAAATTATACAACTTTAAAATTTGATTTTAACCTTGTGGTGATGTTATATAAAAATGCAATCTCAACAAGATTGATCTACAGTCTTAGTAATGGCTCCAATGGAGTCCTTTGGTTTGCTTGCTTTGTCTCTTAATTGATTCGTCTCTCTATCTTGAAGATGATGCCCATGATGACCAGGGTGAAAACACTGGAGAGGCAGTTTGTGACCAAGGTCAAGGTGAGTTGGAAGTGGCCGGTTCAAATTGTAAACCACTAGAACATTCATCAGCACAGAAAGACGGTTTTCCCATTGTGGGAGAATCCGAAAGTGTTCAGAAATCAAATGTTGCTGATGGACATTTCGAAGGTCTAAGCTCTCAGGACAGAGAATCTAGTGAAGTGCAAGTTACAATGGATGAGATGGCCCATAGAGCGGATGGAGAATACGGTGTCAATCTTTCAACACCAAAGGATGAGATGGTCATGGGGAGCATTTTAGGCATTAATATAGAAGAAAGTGGATATGAATTGGAGCACATGGACATGGACGATATAAGCATCCTATTGAATGATGAAGGCATTGCACCTGTTCATCAGGATAATTCTACAGTGGAGCTCACGGATGATCAACGCCATGTCAGTGGTGTCGTGGCTTCATTAAGTACCAATCAAGAGCTTTCTGGTGAACAAATAGTTGTAGATGATCCTACAAGTATGAGTCACCTGCAAGGAGATTTAAATGACCATAGTCAAAAGATTGCAATTGGCTCTGCTCCTACTCCAATGCAGAGTGTGGACGAGAAATATCCACTCTCAGCAACCAAGGCATTGACTGGAGAGAATGAAATACAACATCCATGTACGGGAGACACGGATGTGCATCTCCCAGATAGTACATTAAATTTGCCTCAGGAAGTGACAGAAGAACAAGAGGTTGAGGAGGGGGAAATTTCTGACAGCATTAGGGTGGATGGAACATTGTCTAATATGCGTTTGGATGATATTGCTGGGTCGACTAAGTTGCTCAACACTGAGCAAGTGTCTGAATGCATTGCACTTATGGAGAGTGTCACTGATGAAGGACAAAAAGGGAAAAACAAAACAGAATCTGGAGCCTCTTCTTTCAGTGCTGGAATGGACTGTGATGTTGCTAATGTGAGAAAAGCTGAAAACCATGAAAATAATGGGGGGAAGAAGATTTGTGAACCTCAAATGGCTTTTCATGGAAAGTCAATGGTTTTGGAAGCTGAAAAAGTAGGTACAGATCGTCCTTCAACTGAAGATAAAAAAGCCAAAAAGCATGGTTGCATATTCAGTGAAGACGTGCCCGATCACGCAAGTCGATGTAACGATATAGTTTCCTATGCAGATATTTATTTGGAAAAGAAATCTGGGGACCAAGGGGCTGTAACTACCATGAAGGTCTGATCCTATGCACTTTTTATTTTCTGCACTGCTATTGAGAGATAACTTCCATTGCAACTTAGTGGTATCTGATGCACTAATATCATCTTATAGTTTGAGAAGATGCATTAATGTGCTGCCATGATTAAAGGTCTCTAGCATGAAGGTGATGATCAGAAGTTTGTAGCAACCATGGTTATGGCATCATTTTCCTTTTGTATGGATGAGCGGTATATAGAGATGAGTGTGGCATGTCTTGGTTAAAAAGCATAGAGGAAGCTTTTGCTGTTGGTTTTTTGCTATATATATGTGGACGATAATTTTCTTTATGAAAATTTTTCCTTAATGAAAATTTTGCATCGTGTAACTGTCATGGCTCTGCTGCAGGAGTCTCAAGATAAGAAAAAACGGCGTACTCTTAGCAAAGAAAGGAAGGAGAAGAAAAAGGTCTGTCCACTTATCCAGTTTCTTTCATTATTTTTTGTGTTTGAGATTCATATTCATGAAGCTGCGCTTGTCCCTTCCTCTGACATGAAAATTCTCAATGTATATAATTTTCCTCTTTCACTTGGCGACTTGTATAATTAAAAACAAAGTATATACTACATGAATTGCTCATAAGGCTTTTTTTTCAGCTAAAGGAACGAAGAAAGAGAGCACAAAAGAATAGAGAGCTTGGGGTAAAAAGGTTGAAATTGCAACCAGTGCTGAAAGAAAAAACAGTTACATATTGCCGCCATTATCTCCAGGGAAGATGCACCGAGGTAAGAGAAATCTAGAACCAAAAACAACATCAGGTTATCAATGCTTCAATAGCTGCAAACCTTGAGATCTTAACTTGTTGCTTACCTTGCGATATGCTACTGTGTCAATGGTGAATTTTGTGGGAGGTTCTTTACTTAGTCCTCTGTTACAAATGTTCCTTTCAGTTTTCTGCGGCTGGGTGGGATTAGTCGGTGGTTCATCATAATATTTTTATGAGATAAACATTTATTGATGGAGAAACTTTTTGAGCACATCAGTTATATACAAGAGCAGGAAAAAAAGACGGTTCATCACTATATGGTACATATTTTCAGGGAATCCCAAGGCTCATATACATTATCATTTGTTTGAGAACATTACCCTGTTTTAAGTTTTTACTATTAATACCCGTAGGTCTTTTCTTTTCTATGGGTAATTTTTGACCATATTGAGTTGCATTTTAAGATGTAATGAATGATGGTCATCATGTAACAACCTTGTGCTTTCTTGTGTCGTAATAATGGGGGTTATATCTTGGAATAAGTAGTTGTGTTTTTCTACTTTACACTTCACAAGCAATCTGAGCGTATAATTTTACTCTTGTGTGGATTTAGTCTTTGATACTTTTGCTTATGATGGTCTAAAGTTTCGAAAATTCACATTTCCCCTGATCTTCATGTTTCTTTTATGTTTATCAGGGAGAGAAGTGCAAATTTTCACATGATACCGTGCCTTTGACGAAATCTACAAAGGTGCCTATATTTTACATTTCTTGTTTGTATTTCATATCCATTTTTTATTGTTACTTTTTCTTTTGGTGACAATTTTTCCATTGATATTGGTTCTAAAATAGCCTTAGGGGCAAACTGAACTAACTAATTCTATTTATAGGTCATTCTTTTGTAGATTAATGTCAGTATGAATATGCTCTTGAGCATTTTCAATGACATTTTAGCTTGGCCAACACTCACGTAAAGAGCAAACATGCAATTCTTAGATGTCTCTCTATAAAACATAAACTATTTGAAGTGGCAGGAAAGACAGATGTAAATCACTTTTCATGTTTGTCTAAGAAAGCACCCTTGACCCTCTTTCTTTCTCCTCTCTTCCTCTCCCTCATGACTTCCATTTTGCAGCCTTGCTGTCATTTTGCACGAAATTCATGCATGAAAGGAGATGATTGTCCATTTGATCATCAGCTCTCCAAGTATACTTGCAGCAATTATGCATCCAAAGGCTTTTGTAGCAGAGGCAACAACTGTATGTTTTCACATAAGGTACTTCTACAAAGCTACTATACTCCAAGTGTTGACCAGAGCATATTGGTGTGGACTTGGGGTTTAGCCTTTTAAATTTGGTTAGTTATCTTTGACATGCTTGATTTCAATTACTGCAGATGGAAGATTCTACAATTGCTTCAAACACTTGCAATAATGAATCAAATCATCTAGCTATGCCATTGATTCCTAAGAAGCAACTAGGCACAATTGTTGGCTCCCACAAGAACAACGCCCATACTGCGTCAGACACTTCCCGTGCTTCTTTCAAGTACTTAAAACCGAACATGACAGGCTCTTCAACAAACTCACCAGTGGTCAGACCTGAAAGAGGTAGCTCTGAATCTGCTGAGAAATCCTCATTGATTTCTTTCAACAAGTCAGAAATGGGCAGTTCATCTGCAAAAGATGGTTCCATTCATAGTGGAGAAGATGCTTCTGGCACAGTTCAAAACGTGAACGCAATTTTGAAGACCACACCACTATTGCCACCAAAAGGAGTAAATTTTCTATCATTTGGTTCTTCGTTGAATCAGACAGATTCTAAGAAACCAGCTAACTTCCTTTTCAATGCAAGTAACGTGAATATGCTCAAACATGCTCCCTCAACTCAACAGAAGGGTGATAGCGCCCAGATTGTTAATGATGTAAGCCAACCAATGTCAATGTTCCCCAATTCAAATGAAGCGACAAAAAGGACTGAGCTGGTAGTAAAACCACCGAACTTGAAGCTTTTCTCCGCAAGGAAGGCTTTACTTCACGACTCTATAACTAGAGAACAATCTGGCTCCAGTTCTGTTGGTAATGACGCTATTGACAGATCTCTGCAAGGGAAACCAAGTTCCTCTAGTACGACACAGAGCTCTAGCATGACAACATGGAAGCTGCCAGTTTCTCCAATAACTCCAGGTCAACCTTCAGATTCAACGCCTAGGCTGTACAGGAACATCTCGAATTCAGCTCAGAAGGCATTGTCCTCAACATTAGCATTTGCTGCTATGTTCGAAACAGACACAAGAACGAAGCATGCCGACGGACATCACGCTGTCGGTGGTAAGGCTGTTGGGGAATCTGCTCATGGTCTTCAGAATGATTCAGCGAAGGCCTCGAAAATTCTGGATTTCTTGGCTAACATTGGGAAGAAGAAGCAATAGTGTTCGAGTAAGATGTGGCTAGTAAATCGATGTTTTTTTCACAGTTGCAAATGGGAAAAAGAAAGAGTTGGAAAGCCAATGTCGAGATTATAAACTGTTGTGGTTCTTTCGATATGGCTTCTGCTTCCTCAGTGAATGTCTCGTTATCATTTTTGCAGGAACTGCAGGTTTTAGCAGTTTAGAGGGATACTGTCTCATAAGTTTTGGGAATATGTCCTTTATTGGCGCGACCGTGGCAAGACTAATTACCTATTCAAGTGGCAATAGGCAGCTATGATTTGGGCAGTAGTCGGGTCCTTCATAATGTCTCTTTTTATGTAGCAGTCAAGTCTCTCAATTTAGGTAAAAGGTCGCTTTAGAAGAGATCTCAGATCACCGAAAAGGGATTTGAGGGGGGGATGTATCCGAGTAAGCACACAAATTTCCAGGAAAGCAATGCTCACGCGTCACCCACACGCCTTCTCGTCGGAAGTTCGGAACTAAATATGTTTTATCTCGGCAAGTTGCGTATCTACCAGTCCGGAATGGGAACAACACCGGAGAAAAGTTAAGATTCAGACACGAGAGCATGCTGCGGATACACATCGATGAGTATACTGAAGAGAACTCGCAACGTCCTTAGTAAGTTGATGAACCAGCACCAGCAAAAGAACTGATAATCAGTACCAGTAGTTCAATCCTTAATTCTACATCTGCTTGCAGTTTAGTTAAAGGGATGCTTCTACGTCAAGGAGAGTAGCTAAAGAAGTCTTTCCCATCAAATCATTCTTATGTGTTGACATAAGAAAGAATCATGGAAGGTTCCTCTGTCGCTTCGATTATTACTATTCTTAAGAAAAGGGATATTCTCTGGTCTGCTAAGTGATTTTCCGGGACCTGTCTCGCATTCGACGTGGATTGTTGGATAAAAAAAAAGGGGGAAACAAATGTGGTCCGTCGGATTTGTTTTGCAAATTCAAATTTCCATATAAGTTAAAAACGTTGAAGTATATTTAGGGATGTAATTATGTAAAGGTTATTAGACTTACTTTTTGATTTAAAAAATTTACAATAAGTAAGAAAAATTATCGACACATAGATTACAGAACTTTACGAAGTGTAAATGGAAGTCGCGATCGATGAGATAGTTTTACTAACGATAACACAACAAATTTACATATCATTATTTTTGTGGAATATTATTAACCATTGGATCATCAGAACTCACGGCGACGAAAGGGAAATTACATCCGGTGAAGAAAAGTAATGAAATCACATGTAGCAGGTAAATTACTATCAAGAAAGAAAATTACGAATGCCAAAAGAGAATTACGATCGATTAAGCGGGCGGGATCAGTCCCGTTTTCCTCTTACAGGACCGTAGAAGGAACCCCTCGAGGAAAATCGCGATACTCAGTTTGCTAGAACATCTTCCATCTTACAAGAAAATGTAACTAATAAGTCTCAAATAACCTGTGTCCACATCTGAAAATTTTCTAGCAATTGCAACCTAACTTTCTACTATTTATATGGAATTTGGAGGATCAATTTCTTGGTAATTCCCTTCACCGGGAAAAAGAAGATTCTAATCTCTGTTCATATCATCGTTCGGCTCTTTGCGGCAAAGTTAGTCTCATCTGGATGGCTCTGTACATAAAGACTGAATTTTCATGGATGCTTCCACTTTCAAACTACGACCCCCAAAGGTTAGCACAAATTCAGACGAGAGTGGCATTGCCTTGAACATTGTTCCTTTGCTTTTGACACTTCACTTAGAATTGAATTCAATAAAAGTGACAACTAGCAATAATCATTGTTCTAAAAGTACAAATTATTAGCAAAACAAACCCGCAAATATAAACCGAAGATCCGTCTCCCCCATACGCAAGAGGCGCCTTGAACGTGAGCCTCGAGCTATACACAAACCACCATCGTTAAATAAAAGGTATGGACATAACGATCGGAAAGCTGATAATTCTTTCACAAGATAATCACGGTTTTCGTGGACCACATCACCAGAACACTTTGAAATTAGTCTCGACAAACGATGTCGAACAATGCTGACCATGGAAATTCGAATTATCAGCAAACACAGGCATACATCATTTTGGTCCGAACATTTTCAATGGGTCCATGGCCACGGCTAATAAACCAGTTCTTCGTTCCCACATACCATGTGCAAGAATCAGTGGGCTCAATTATGCCTCGTGGACAGTGCAATCAAACACATAATCAGTAGGAAATAACTCAAAACAGCCCCAATCATGGACGTTTCGAAAGAAAATAATTATGTAATCGGTATCATTAAAAAAAAAATTTTAAAAATTCCTCATTAAGTATGTTTAAAGAGATTAAGAAGCTCCAAAAAAATAATTAATTAAAAAAAAAAGGAACTGCGCCTAACTTCTGGGAAAATACATATACAATGTGTAGCCTTTCGGCATCATGCAGGAAGGTTCTGACAGGCGAGACCAATTCCATGTTGACTCTCTGAATTGTTCTCCTCGTCCTTCGCCTTCACATGGGGCTTCAGCATATCAAGAAATCGTTGACCTGCTCCAGCTGCAGAAGAACGACTCTGCCATGGCGGCGGCGTGGTCGTGACTCTAGGGTTTGGCCACGGTTCACATGTTAATTGCTGCACAAGATTAGAAATCAATTTGTTAACATAATAGATTAGAATTCACATTGATTAGGCTAAGTGTGCACGAGATTCCTTTTGATTATTATTTGTTATGGCGTGCCGCTATAGCTGTAATATTTGATCGGGACTAACGAGTCTGCTCTTAACGCCCAAAACCGATTAACGGCAGTGTTCGTTTCGGGGAAAGCAAACGCGAGATTCGTTATAAAGAGAAATCCTTTTTCGGGAAAATGTTTTTCCCTTTCCAGGTTAAGGAATTCATGTTCTCTAACTTTAAGCGCGCATATTTTCTTTGACCGTAAATGGTTTTTCTTTGACTAATCACTTTTAGAAAATCAAAACTCGTGAAAATCCAAAAAAGTAATTCGCGAAAAATCTTTTTCACTCAAACAAACACATCCTAAGTGCTGGATGTGAATTGTATGAATTCAAATTTTTTCCATATATTTCCTTGCAGTAAGACTTATGGAAACAACAAATAGTGAAGCTCCTGCTTTTCTTTAAAATAAACAAAAAACAATCGGATGGTGTAGGGATCGGTTTTCATACATATCAACGGCGATCTCAACGGTGCATTCCCTCAGCTTGGCCTAGTGCGATTAGAATTTCACTTTTTGAAATGCTCCCAACAAGATTTGAACCCGAGACCTTCACGAGAAGAGTAAAACATTTTGAGCGTCTAAGTCAACACCTCGTCGGAGTTGCTCTTGTTTTGACCTGATAATCAAGCTGACTTTTTTATTTTTTTTTATTTTGAGTGGTAAGTGCAATGTTGTTCTCGTATTGTATATGTACCGAAAAGTTTTATTGTAGTGATGAGAAGAGGCAGCTGGGGAAAATGAAAATTTCAGTGCAAAATGATGAAAAAAAATTAAAAAAATTTCTATGAGTAGGGAGAGTAGGAAAAAAGTTGGAATTTCGAGCATTTTCTCCGCCCTTTCCTCCTCGACCTTTCTTTCAGACATAGCGTCAACGTCTTCCCAAAAAATATATGTATTCTCATTTTCATAAGTTTCAATACCATCCCTACCACTCCGTCACGACAATGACAACTAGGGCGCTTAATCTATACTTTTTACAATAGTTAATTATTCTCATTTTATTCATAGAGAGACGACACCAACTAAATTTAGCGAATGCATTCTCCCACTCGATGACTCATTAGGAGCACTGCTCTTATTATTATTATTTCCGAGTCCCGCCATCATCTTGATAGTAAAAATACCGCACGAAGATCTAATACCGTTTCTCACGGGGAAAATCAATATCCTATCGAGGACGTGCGAAATTCAGTCGGGTCGCATATTTCTTAAACCGTGTTTTTTTATTAGCGGGTTATAAATTATAACCATCACCGAATTTCCCACTAAAGATTGAGAATAATAATTTGGCCTTTTAGACGGGACACATCACAACCCAACTTTAACGCGACTTCAAAATTTTCCAAACCCTCTAGCACGTCGCAGCACAAAAAGGAAAAAGCTTCGGAAGACCTAACTCATGGGGGTCCCAAGAAAACGCTTGGCCAGCAAGGAGAGGCCCACTTCCAACCTTCTTTCGTCAATTATAAACTTAAAATTTCGAACGGCCATTCCAAAATTTAAAAAAAAAAAATGAACAGATATTCTTAGACCACGTTCAATGGTTGTGCGTCCGATCCAAATAATTCGCCAAAAAAGATTAGTAGATTTAATACGTACATGTGCAAGGTCCGGGGTTCTCTTGTCATATCGCCAACTTGTCAAGACTCTCACCTCAGCTCTCAAAAACTAAAATTCTTCACAAAAAAAAATATATATTTTGGGTTTGAAGGAAATTAGGAATTTGATCAGTTGCTTTTTAAAGAGATAATGTTACAAATAATTCATGAATTTTGGTCTAATATGTAATGTGATCCCTGAATTTTTAATTTATTCAATATGATCCCCAAATTTTCGATACATGTTCAGTTTAATTTCTAAACTATCCGAAATATTCGGATATCGCATTATTCGCGTCATTTTTCCTTTCTTAAAATACAGGTGGATGATATTCTAAGGTAAGTAATGACGGGGGGACAAGCCGTGGAGGCTGCAACTTTCGTTGACATCGACCCACCTCCAACCCCCCATTTTTTTCCACATTCCCAGTTTCCCCCATCACCAACATGGCGTCGTGCGACAGTGAAGTCTCCTTCTGTCCCTTTCTTCTCTTCTGTGCGTACATTTTATGTACTCGCCACTTCCATTTATTCGAAAAAAAATTTAATTAAATAACTTATGAGCCAAGTAATAATATTGGTTGGTATTGATTTTATCCCACTTCTACATAAGCGAGGACAAATATATATATATATATATAAAGCCCCTCATTGAGTATTACAAAAATAGTCGCTGTCTTAAACATGTAGCAAGTGCCGAAAATTTAAGCGTTGAATTTTAAGTGGTGGTAACTTTAAAATGGCGAAAATGATTATGAGTTCAATGCATATTGGACTGGTCCAGAATAAGTTTATATATTGTTGCAATTGAGGACTGAATATTATTATCGCTTCATTGAAAATAGAAGCGCCGCTACTATTGATAGGTTTTAACGATATGGTTGGCAGGACTTTAGTTACTATTAGTTAAGTTTTCTACTTAACGAAATGAGTAATTCCTTCCTAACTTTCGAATTAAGTGAATTTTTATAACTTAAATCAAGTCCTTTCAGTCAAAGCTAATCAGGGTAATCAAACAAGCTTGATCTCACTATATGTCGAATTTTTTTTTATTTTCAACATCAATTGAGTTTATAAGACTAGCTAATTTCAAATGGTCGACCCTAAATAAAAGTTAAATCTCCAACGTAGAATTTCCTTTTGAATAAAATTACCCTTGACTTATAATATGTCTAACAACTTATGTTATGTTATTTCACAACGGTTGGATGTCCACCATTTTCATATTTCTAGAATAATCCCATTTGAGTCTCAATAGCTCATCATATCATTTAGGAAGGTCAATTGTTTTAGCGTGTGTCAAAATCTAAACGATGTTATATAGTAGGGGTGTAAATGGTTCGGTTCGATTCGGTTTTTCAAGAAAACCGAACCATTAAGGGTGCCCCCTTGAACCGAACTGAATTTGAATCGAACCGAATTGGAACCGAACCGAAAAATCGATTTGGTTCGGTTTGGTTCGGATCAGTTTTCGGTTTCAAGTTCATTAAGGAGAGAGAGAGAGAGGAGAGAGGAGAGAGAAGGGGAGAGAGAGAGGGCAAAATAGCCCTAAACCGAAGTGTTTATTTTAGTTCGGTTCGATCCAAACCGATCCGAACCGAACCGAAATAAACCGAACCGAAAAGAAAAATTGGTTTATTTTGATGATCCGAACCGAAACCGAAACCGAACCGAAATGCACGAAATTTTCGGTTCGGTTCGTATCTCGGTTCGGTTTTTCGGTTCGGTTCTGACACCCCTATTATATAGCACTAAATTGCAAGAAGCCAAACACGCATAATTTATTTTAGGATATATTGGAAATGCTATATAACATTTCATCCTAGCCAAGCATGGAAGAACGTAGAATACTGTTTTTTAACTTTATAATATTATACAAGGGCTTCCTACATCTAATGCTATACAAGTTCAGAAGGTTCTAAAGGGAAAATGTTTAATTTATGATATTTTGCCCTTCGAAATTAAAAAACAAAAAAAAAAAACAAAACGTCCTTAACTTTTATTTATTTTACAATGTTACGATGTTTGGGAAAATTGTCTAATCAGTTCTAAATTTATTGTGCAGATCCCAATTCAATCTTATAATTTCGCTCCAAACCTTTGGCACAAATTTCAATTTAGTTATTCTAGTCAATTTTCATCGTAAATCGCTGACAGTGTGCGTGCAGGACGACATGAGTAACTTTCGACGAAAATTAATCAAAATGACTACATTAAAATTTAACAGAGATGTTCCGGACTAACTTAACAAAATTGAAAGATTTGGGGCTGAATTGACATTCGCACGATAGATTTAGGACCGAGTTGCAAAATCGGCATAACAATAAATAATTTTCCAAAATTCCTCCGTTTAAACACTTTTTTTTTTTAAAAAAGAAATTTCGTGGCCCACAAACGGCAGCGTTATTCTTGGAAGTATTGTACGCGGGGAGGCGCTCCACGCGTGCGACGATAAGTTGCGACAGTGGGCGCCACGGAAATCCTGGCCACTTCGAGCCACTACCGCTTTCCCACGTATCTACGGGCCGTCGACCGAACATCCCGACAACCGCGAAACGCGCGAACCTTCCCACACGTGTCGGCATCTCGGCGCGTCCGAGGTCGCGACAGCTGGACAGGCCGCTCCATCCCCTCGCCTCCCCCGTCCCTTTCCATCCGGCCGTTGGATCAGAATCCCGCAAAAGATCCAGGCCCCCCACAAACCCTAACCGCTCCCCCCTAACCATGGTCGGGGAACTTAACCCGAGTTCACATACCATATGAAACCCCCCACGATGTTTCTCGAATTTACGGCCTCTGCCACTCCCGCTCCGATCTATAAATCTAGCCATTGAGACTCGCTAGGTTTGCCGAACCAAACACCCGAACCACCCCCTTAAGGCGGCGCTCCTCCCCCCAACTTCCCTTCTTTCTCTCTCTTCCGCCTTCGAGCTTTCTCTCTCTAGCCTCGAAGCTTCCCCGACAATGGCGACCTCGTCCAGGACCAGATCCAGCAGCCGGCACGTGCTGCGATCCCTCTCCCCGTCGGGCCGGTACTACTCCCCCCTCGCGGCGGCGCAGGACTCGTCGCTCTCCGCCACCGCGTCGGCCTTCGCCTCCTCCACCAGCTCCAGCTTCTACTCCCGTCCCTCCAACGCCTCCTTCTTCAGCCGCCGGTCGTCGTCCCCGACGCGCGTCAACGTCTTCAGGTCGTCCTCCTCTTCTTCCTCGATGTCCCCCTCCGTGCGGTTCTCCATCGACCGGTCGACGTCCCCGGGCAGATCCATCGCCGTCTCCCCCAGGCACCACGTCATCGGGAGCCGTGGCGGCCCGGCGAAGAAGACGTGCATGTGCTCGCCCACCACCCATCCAGGTTCGTTTCGCTGTAGCTTGCATAAGAACTCCGGCGGCGGCGGCCACCACGGGCAGTCGGCGTCGTCCCCTTCCAACCGGCTCAACATGAGGAGATCCGCGATGACGAACTCGCTGGTGCGGATCGGCGGCGTCGAAGGCGAGCTGATGAGGAGATCCCTCACGGCCCTGATCCGGCCGTCGTCGCACCACCAGCGGCGGCGCGGGGCGTTCGAGACCAGGCCGAGCCGGCTCTCCGTCATGTCGAAGGCGGAGGATCCGCGGTAGGAGAGCGGGCGTCTTTCAGGTCACAGGTTTTGTCAGTCAGCGAGCGAGCCAGCCGATTCCGAAGGTACCGGATCGGGCGGTGCCGGCCGAGTCAACTCGGCGAGCTCACCCTGCGAGTTATTTGGCGACGGGGTTGCGGCGGAGATCGGAACCACAACCACCTTCTTGTGTGTACATAGTTGCTGAGCCAATGTGATGGCTGAGATGGGCTGTTGAAGGAGATTAAAAGATTCTTTTCGGACATTAATTACATTCAATCGGACAGATCTGATAATAATCCCTAATCAAACTGGTTAATCGACTCCTTAAATCTAATCGCGATCATCGAAATTCGAAACCCTAATCCCGTCGGGGCCCGCCGTCTTTGCAGAGCGTTTTGTTTGGGATCGCTGTCGTGATCCGTTCCGTGTGACGGCGCCGTTCGCCGCCGTAGCCGTCGTCGTCGTCGTCGTGCGTTGCTTTCCCTTCCCCGTTGACCGTCGTCCCGTTCGCTTCGCCGTTCGTGCTGGGTTGCGTGGCATTCGGTGCGAGGTATATTCTTTTAACATTTGTTTCCTCGTTGATTGATTCCGTTATTTATTTTTTATTTTTGACCTTTTTCGCTAACGTTTATTTTCCTTGTTTTCTCTATATGTGTAAATTCGCAGGTGAGAAATTCGGGATTTTTCGAGAATTTACCACTGGGGACCGAAATAATTCAATTTTGGGAAGAAAAAGTGAAAAATAAAAAATGGTAATTTTCCCCGAGCGGACGCGTGGAGATTTGGACCTTAAAAATCTTGGAATTAAATAATGAGAAGGTCTTAAAAATCTTGGAATTAAATCATGAGACGGTCGTACTAATTGATTTGAAAATTTCGAGAAATAGTCAAATTTGATTGAAAGAGTGAAAGGAAAGCAAAGAAGTGTTGATGGTGGAAGACAGCTAGCCAGATTAACAAGGACGTTGCGTGAAGGACCTAGCGAGATGATGAGCTCATTACCGCGCCCCATCGAGATCGTACATAATTCGACGGTCGGGATGGAATGATGTGTTAAAAAGTAAGAGAATCGATGAGCATTTTGCTTCGTCCCGCACGAATCAATTGGAGTTTGGTGAACGGAACCCACGCGATGAAAATCGCCGTGTCGGCAAGAACAACAAGGAGACACGAAGATCTCAACCTCTACCCTCGCAAAAAGGACGGTTAAGGCAAAAATTGACACAAATAACTCATGGACTTTAACTTAATACTATCAATTTGTTTGGCGTGATTCTTAAACCTTTGATATATGTTCAATTCAGTTTTTGAACTATGAATAATATTATATATTTTCATATAGTCTGGGAATTAGATTGAATATTGAGTTAAAATTTAGGGATCACGTCGAACTTTAAGGTTTAGAAGCGACATCGGACATTGAATTAAAATTCATACAATTTATTCTTATCACATTGGTTAAAGCGAAAGATAGAGTAACAAGCAAAACAAAGGTAACTCGAGTGGCCGTGTTGTATTGCGAAAAAGTAAAATGTTTTTGGCAGGATATGTTTTCTCAATGATAAATTATCTCGACATACGCCGAATAAAAGTACATTTTTATTATAATTTAATCATATCTCATCAGAATCAGAATCAATCGTACTATTTTTTGAGAAAACCTCATAAGATTTTAGTATTGACAAAACTATCACTTACTATTTGTATTTCGATAGATCCAAATGTTATTTCTATTCAGGTGACTTTGATTGATGACTTAGCTCCATTTGGAACTATTTTAAGTGCTAAGTGAAATGACTTAAAAGACTGGAAGGACTCGAAGGTAAGCAAGATCAGCGAAGGAGAAGTTTTGTGAGGACTTGGAGAAATCAATAGGTGAACAGAATTGTGGAAGTCTAATTCACATATATGCTCATGCATATAGACACAATGTTTGCCAACTGGATGACTGAGCAGAATCATGGAAGGTTGACAAAAGCTACTGCTTATATCAAGCTGAGAAGTCACATAACATGTTAAACAAAAACCGGATATTCCTTTAGTCATTATTGCACATCTAAAGGAATTTGATGGCCGATCACAAGCATGGAATTGCGGGTCCATTCAGTTCGAAGAGTATCCAATTAATCATTCATAAACCATTGAAGATGGAACTATTCTTGGAAGCAACAAGATTGCTAGAAGAGCTAGTTGTATGGATGAACGTATCTCTGGTAATTTTATTTTATTTTTATCTACAATGGCTAATTGATTGTCTCGAAGATTATTCAACGGTAAACGATTGACAATTATAAAAGTGATCAAGGCAAGCTAAAGTAGATAGAGACGAGTTGTGAGAATTACAAGAATATCTTACTTAGTTTGATTTACTTACCGAGAGTTATACATTGATTGTAAATCGTTTAAAAAGTGTACAAGTGCTGTAGTAGTGCATGTAACTTGGTAGCGTTATTTACCAGCTTTGGGTAGAAGCAGCGCAAGCTACGATTGTCACTATTCAAAGAGCTACTAGTGAATGATAGAAGAAAAAAAAAGGAGCTACTAGTGAATGTTAGTTTGGAAAAGTGGATGGAAAATTGATCTAAGCCGAACCACTATTAATATGCACGCATCTATCTTTATCTCTTTACTTGAGGCTTTAATTGATCGATAGAAGCACCGCACACGTATTCACAACATATACTTGCATCAATCAATTTATTTTTGCATCTATCAACTTGAATCTATTCGCCCCCTTATCTAACTAGCTACAACAATTAGTATCAAAGCATGTTGCTTATATATTTTTGAAGTGCTATATTTCAAGAGCACAAAGATCTTTCATAGCTAGTCATATTGATGCACCTATCTCTATCTCCTTACTCGAGGCTTTAATTGATCAATAGACGCACCATATTCGCAGCATATACTTACATCGATCAATTTGTTCCTGAATATATCAACTTGATTCTGTTTAATTCCGAAAAAATTTATCATATTTTATTCATAACCTACTCACCCCTTTAGGTTATTTCATTAGCTACAACACCGTCTTCCAATAATATCAAATACTCCAACATCTCATCCTAAATTTGATCTTCATACTATAAACACATTAACGGATTGATTTTCCAACAAAAAAAAACAGAAAAAAAAATTAAAGTACGCTTCTATGCTTAAAAAGATAAGTTGAAACACAAAATTTTTTTCTCATCGATTAGATTTAAAAAGTAATAAAATAAAAATGGGAATAAAGGAAAAAGCTAAGCGATATAAATTTTTTCTTTGTTTGGCAATAAGAGGGAACAGAATCTTTTTAAAATAACAAAACGAATAAGAAATATGCTTATTGGGATCAACTGAGCACCAATAAAGTGTCTTGTAATGATAAAAAAAGAAAAACAGGAACACTTTTGGTCATGAGCAAGGCCTTAAAAGATTCAAAGAGAGACGGGCGAAGGAACTCTCCGGTATAATGGAGGGTTTCCTGTAAGTTCTCTCCGTAGATCACAACAAAGAGCTCGTCCTCGGCGTTTCCTCCGACACAACCACACAACGCCTTCCTCTTATGACCATCGACATGCTCGTAATAGAAGAGTTCGAATGGATAGGAATTGTCCCGCGTGATGGAAAAGCCAGTCGGATCTCCTGCCATCGACGAGACACAAGTCCCCCCTGTTTTCTTCGAGACCGACGGGTCGATGCGCTCGGCAGTCCGAAAGCCCTGGCAAGCCAAGGTGACGTTCGCTATGACGTAAGGGCAATGGAGGCGGATGGTCACGTTCGACTTCGGTTTCTGCTTCACGATGGCTCCTGTTTTTGATTGCGCAATCTCGATACTCTGCGGATAACACTGGTAATCGCCAGCACATCACGTTAGAAGTGGAGGGGTTTGTTAATTCACATGTTAAATCTTGGGAAAATGACATAAAGAGTCCATGAACTTTGGCTCAATTTGCAATTTGATCTCTAAACTTTTAATTTATCCAATGTAGACCCTGAACTTTAACCCAATGTGTCATGCGGTCCCTAAATTTTCAGTTTGTTCAATATTATCCCTGAACTTTTGGTATATGTTTAATTTAGTCCCTAAACTATATGAAAATGTTCAACGTTGTCATTTCATTAATTTAAGTTCAGGGACTACATTAAATATTTTCATATAGTTCAGGGACTAAATTAAATATTTATCAAAAGTTCAGAGACCACATTAACCAAATTAAAAGTTTAGGGATCACATTGAACACCAGGCTAAACTTCAGGGACTATATTGAACAAATTAAAAGTTCAGGAACCAAATTGCACATTGAATCAAAGTTCAGGGACTGTTTGTATCATTATCTCATAAATCTTCGAAGAGTATACATGGAAAGAGAAACCTACCCCGCGCAGTGTTAAGAAAGAGCGATGCCGCGTGTGCCAGGTCGACCGAGGATTGGAATCATCCTTGCCCTGAGATGATCTTTCGCCCAAAGATCAAGAAAAGAGACGCTATGTTCATCATTGTCGTGCCGGTTTCGATATTCTTGTTGCGACTATATATTTTCCCATATTAAATACAACCCAGCATTTGCTAATTATTGGCAAAAATTACCAAAAAAGTTCTTAATCTATTGTACTCGTGCTAATTAAATCATAAACCTTTTCATTATGCCAATTTAGTCATATATCTTTTTACGTTTTGTCAATATAGTCCATCCGGCCGATTTTGACTGAACTTTGCTGACGTGGATACCGGCAATCCTAAATGGCATTGCCGGTTTAGGACTACCGGTGCTGACGTGGACATATTTTATAATTATATAAGTTTTTCTTGGTTTTGTCTTTTGTTTTTTTTACTCTTTTTTTTTTGTTTGGACTAAGGGCTGACAACCCTTGCCGGCATTGGGCAAGGGCATCATGGCCCTCACCAACTCTAGGCGAGTGTCGCGACACCCTCGATGTGGCTGGTGAGGGCTTGGGCGAGGGCCGCAATGCCCTCGCTTGTGGTCGGCGACCCTCGGAAAAAATAAAGTAAAGAAAAGAAAAAACCAAAAAAATTATAAAAAAAAATCAAAAAAATTACAAAAAAATGTCAACATCAGTGCCGGCCATGCCACTTAGGACAACCGATATTCACATCCGCGAATTTTGACCTAAATTGGCCGGATGGACTCAATTGGCAACATGTGAAAAAGGTTTATGACAAATTAGAAGAATTGAAATATTTAGGACTAAATTGACACAAGCGTAATAAATTTATAACTTTTTTGGTAATTTTTGCCTAATCGTAGCCTATAAGGAACAAATTATCTCCACTTACTTTATTAGATTTATC